GTACATCACTCATGTTCGATTTGCCGACGATATACTCCTTATGGCAGAATCGCTGGAGAACCTAAGCACAATATGCTCAATGACCTCAATAGTGCCTCCCAACGGAGAGGTTTTAAGATAAATATGGACAAAACAAAGATCATGTATAACGTCCATGTCATACATATGCCGGTAGTTGTTGGGAGCACTAAGCTCGAATTTGTTGACGAGTATGTTTCATCATCATCATCATCATCGTTACAGCTTATTGAACTGAAAATATATTGAACATTATAAACATTACATGCACAAACATACACATGTACCTTTTCAGGTATAGCAATATGGAAGAGAAAGAGGCAGACATCTAAAGCTTTTTATCCTCCAAGTGTTCATTCACAGGATTATAAGCTTTATTATGAAGTAATTCTTTTACTTCTTAATAAAGCTTATTATGCTCTCAAAAGTCAAATTAGGTTTGTACTCTGCAGTGTAAGTCTACTTAGCCATTTATTTTACTTTATGTTTAATTGACGGCTCCGTGGCGCAGTGGTTTAGAAATGAGTTTCGGCGCAGAAAGCTGCGGGTTCGAATCCCGCACGGAACAAATATTTGTACTCGTATTGTCTAGAAGTAATTGATCCAGGTCTGCATGTTTGTCCCTGTGCAATTTATGTATGTAACCTACCTCCAAGATACAGGAATAAAATCCTAGTGTAGGGATAAAGTTTACTAAAAAAAAATATCGTATTTCGAAGAATGGGTAAATCTATTGAACACTACAGTAATGAATTACGAGATAAAGTGAGCATTGAAAAACCAATACAATGCAGAACAATAGGCCTGATTCTCCCACCCGATATTAAAATGGTGGTTTAAGTAATTTGCGTTCGTTTGCTACTGTTTACTGTTTTGAGGTCAAAAGTATTATTGTTAACAGAAATGAAGTATTCAATACATTGTATACCTGACCACTCTTATTACACTATGGAATTTAATCTCAGTCGAACTTTTAATATTTGAACATCTTATTGATATTAGTAAATAGAGTGATTCATTGATATCTATGAGAGCGCCGTAACAAAGAGGATAAGTACCCTTTGAAATTTCAAAGAACATAAACAATTTCTTCATTTTTAGAAAATTTTGAATGAAAATGTAGTTGTGTGACAACCATGAAAGCTTAGAATTTCGTTAGTAGTATAAAGGTCTCCGGTTCTCTACATTTTTCAGATGTTTCACGCTGATATTCTGTGAGAGATCCTACTCCGGTTCAGCCGACGCGTTCGTGCTGGAACCATAATATTTTTGTACTGTGACTACCACGTTAAAAACGAACGATGTAACATCACCAGAATATGTTACATCTCAATACGTTTAGACAGCTTTCGTATTCTGCCTCTGTCCTCGGATACCCATCGTATCCCTACTGTATCTACACTTCAGCACTTCGATATACCGACAACGACAATCAACTTGGCACCGCTGTAGGGACTATAGCAGTGCCCTAATTTTGACGGTATCAAAGGCTCTATCTTAGTCCACATAAGCAAGACAAAGTGGCCGATTGTACTCCTCGTTCAACTACACATACTAACATACAATAGAAATGTGTATAATATTATATCTTTACGACATTCATTCACATAGATATCGTATCATACGAATTCTGCATCGTATAGTAGGCGTGACGTACATATAACTAACGATAATGCAATTCAAATGAGGGCAAAGTTCCACTTAGTCCCGGTCAAGTGTAATCACTGCAATTTCAATGTACTAGCATGCAATGAACTTTTTGTTATTCGCGTTTAAGGTAAGGTATTTAATTGAAACGCGACGTGATTTCTTTATTTATTTATTTAAAGTTCATACAATATGATGTATAGGCGGACTTAATACCTGAGACATTCTCTACAAGTCAATCTTAAGGTGATGCAGAGATAAAAATATGAAGTAGATGTGCGAAACGACAAGAAATAATATAAATATAAATCAAAATAATACACACCCATACATAAACTATCATATCAAAAATTATTTAATACATGCATAGTATTATATATAAATTATGTACAAAAAATAATAAATTACATACATTATATAATTATATATTTATATCATCATCATCATTACAACCTTTCATAAGTCCACTGTTGAACGTAGGCCTCCCCAAGGAATGCCACAACGCACGGTCCTGAGCCACCTGCATCCTTCGACTTCCTGCATGTCTTACCAGGTCGTCACTCCATCTCGTGGGGGGTTGCTTTACACTTCGCCTACCGGTACGAGGCTGCCACTCGAGAAACTTTCTTCCCCATCGGTTGTCGGTTCTTCGAACTATATGGCCGGCCCACTGTGGCAGTTCAGCTTACTAATCCGTTGGGCTATGTCGGTTACTCTAGTTTTACTGCGGATATTCTTATTTCTAAGTTTATCACACAGACAAACCCCGTGCATAGCCCTCTCCATAGCTTCCTCTTACGGCCAGCAGTGAAAGACCACGTCTCAGATCCGTAAGTCATCACTGGCACGCACTGGTTGTACAATTTCGTTTTCAGGTTTTGAGGTATGTCTAACGAGAAGATGTGTCGTAGTTTCCCGAACGCTGCCCAGCCGAGTTGAATCCGTCGATTGACCTCTCGGTCGAAGTTGGACTTACCTAATCGAACTATTTATCCCAGGTAACATACTCGTCAACAACTTTGAGCTTAGTGCTCCCAACAACTACCGGCATAGGTGTGACATGGACGTTAAACATGATTTTTGTTTTGTCCGTGTTCATCTTACGACCTATCCGTTGGGAGACACTATTGAGGTCATTGAGCATAGTGCTTAGGTCCTCCAGCGATTCTGCCATAAGGACTATATCGTTGGCAAATCGAAGGTGAGTGATGTACTCGCCATTGATGTTAATACCGTATCCTTTCCAGTCCAGAAGCTTGAAAACGTCTTCCAATGCAGCGGTGAAGAGTTTCGGTGATATAACGTCACCCTGTGTTACACCTCTCTGCAATTGGATAGGTTTCGTACTCTGGTTCTGTACTCGGATAGCCATCGTAGGCCTACTGTAAGTGACAGGCAACTTGGCACCGCTGAAGGGACTGCATCACCGCCCAAATTTCGACGGAATCAAAGGCTTTCTCATAGTCCACATACGCCAGACATAGTGGCAAATTGTACTCCTCGGACTTCTGTACAATTTGTTGAAGGGTATGTATGTGGTCCATGGTACTAAAGCCTTTTCGGAAACCGGCTTGTTCGGGAGGCTGGAAGTCGTCAAGTCTGCGTGCGAGACGATTCGTAATGACTCTCGAAAACAGCACGTAGACGCGGCTCAGAAGGGAAATCGGTCTGTAGTTCTTCAAGAAAGCGTTGTCGCCTTTCTTGAAGAACAAGACCACCGCACTTCTGCTCCACGCCTTCGGAGTAGTGCCACCATGGAGGACGGAATTAAAGAGCTTCTGAGGGACTTCAAGTACCGGTTTTCCACCCGCTTTCAAAAGCTCCGCTGTAATTCCATCCTCACCTGGGGCCCTGTCGTTTTTAAGGTGGTTGAGAGCCATTCTAATCTCGCTCAGACTGACGTCCGGGATATCTTCGGAATAGTGTCGGATAAGACTCACTCTTGGATCGTTACTCACACTTGCGTGTGGCTCCAACGATGACGTGTACAGCTGCCCATAGAACCTCTCAATCTCACTCAAAATCCCAGGTGTCTCGGAAACGATGCTGCCACACTCGGTCTTCAGCTTTGATAGTTGGCTATTTCTGGCATACAGATCTCTGTCAAAGACTTTGGAGCCTTGGTTCCGCTCGATTGCTTCTTCAATAAAAGCTGTATTGAAGTTGCGTAAGTCCCGCCGCATGCATTTGAAGATCTGTCTGTTCAGTTGCCTGTATGCTGTCAAATCTGTTGAAGATTGTAGCTTGATCTCCCGTCTAACAGCCATGAGATTAAGAGTGTGATCGTAGAGTTTTTGTATTCTTCTGCGGCGGGTCTTGCAGAACTTAGCTCCGACCGCATGGACCAATTGTCCGACCGATTGTCCGACCGATGGTGGACCGATGGTGGACCGACCGCGTTTCCACGAGCTTGTCATTCATATCATATATAAATACATAAATATATACTACTAATGAGATTATTCTGCCAGTTTATTTAAGTAATGTTCGCGAATTTTCTTCTTGAATGCATAACGCAATGATTTTCACTCCGAATTTACTCCAGTACACATTACGTATAACATTTAAACGTCTCGACATAACAAATACCTACCTATAATGACTTCAACCGGTCAATTCGTTAAGAAATTACACGATCACTAACAGGCGACGTACAGGACCAACGATTATATTCGAATATTAATTAACGTGTGAGAAATGTTCCACTGTAAAATCAATACAATGATATATCTTTTATGCACAAAATCAGTTAATCAATAGCACAGTAAGGATTGCATTTTCGTACAACATACAAACATACAAACAACGTAACATAGATCATGTGTTGTGATGATCATAGCGGCACGCCTGTAATCCCCGAGAGGGTAGACAGAATCCAAAGAGCAGCGAGCTACTTGGACCACGTTTAGCCAAAAAATATGGGTTTAGATGGAAAATTGTGAACGAAGTGAGCTCATCGCCTACACAATTACAAACCTAATATCCCATTATTCGCCTTTTACGACATGATAGGCAAGAAACACAGTTTATTTTTTGTCATAAGTCACACATAACCATAGGACCTATAAGTTGCTGACTAACATGGGACAATACCTATGTTTTTCTTTATTATATTACACAAATATTTCAATGAAACTTATCTAGGATCTATAGAGAAGAGTAAGGAACTGATATTACAAAAGAGGAGAGAGGGAGACGTTTTCCAGTGGTCATTATCCCAGTGAATTTTCTTTCAAACTTTGACAACAGCAGCCTTAACAAGAACTTGTCTTTTACAAACTCTTTTTAACACTGTGTCCCCTAGAATTAAATTCAATAAAATATTAATGTTACAGTGTACCCGGCATACAAGAAAAATGAAGCCGGCTTCACGACGTGCCCGTCGCTGGAGAACCGATACACAGGGGAGCCCAACAATCGCGTCGTGTCGCGTCGCCCCGCTGACATCGTCCGCACACGCAATCCAGGCACATGTGAGTATACTGAATTGCTACATCTCTTCTTTCTACTCTTATAAAACTACTGTGAGTGTAACGTATACTTAAATTTTAAATTTCATTATTAGTCCATAAACAGTAAATGTTTGGAAATACGAGCTATGTTATAAATATCCGCAAAAGCCTTATACGCTTGCTTGTCAGACAAAATTGCAATCGCAATAGGTCAATCTCGGATTCTCGTGTACTTTAAATAATTTCTTTTTTGACAACTAAACCGTGGATCTTGTATTCAAATTCCAGTAAGTCTTGGCTTTCTAAGATCGAAGTAGTATGAAGCCGAAATTTATTGTGAATGTTCCGGATATCCCGCCACCGTGTAGTGGCGGTGTAAAAATATCCTCTACCCCATACCAACCCGTGTATGCTTGCCAAGCGTGGTAGCTATCGCAAAATCCCCCCTTATTAGGCAATCTATGGATGAGGCCTACGTTCAGCTGTGGACTATAGGCTGTAATGGATGGATGGATGATTTGTTTTATGTACGGTCGTGTGCGTTAATGATAACTTCCGGTAGTGCTCGCTATGGTTGAAATTGGTTATGACATTTATAAACGTGACAACAAAATAATTATTCCCTGGTCCATAAACAATGATCTTACTGGTAAAGTCTAGCTGTTCTCGGTCAACAGGCATTGTTTGACACACTTAACTGCTCTGCTCCTGTTTGGATAGGTTTTCCATATCGTATACCGTTATCGTTACAGCCTATTAAAGTTACCATATATTGTCTCATAGGTTCATTTGCAACCGCAGTTTTATTTTTTATTTTTAGTCGTTATTAGTAAGTCGCTGCTGCCCATCTCCTGATTTGTTTCCCCCTGTCGCCCCTTAAGACACCTACGGGATGATATGGGGTAGTAGATATTCTTTCACCACTACACGGCTCAATATCGTGTATTTAAATAAAATTTTCTTACTCTTATTTAGGTATTACGAATGGCGGTAGACGCGTGGTCAAAGCGCTATGCGCTTACACAGCACGCGCGGAGTCGGACATCTCGTTCCGCAAGGGCGACCGTATGGAAGTACTGAGCGACGCGGAGCCGGATTGGTGGCGAGTCCTCCACATCACCACCAGGCGAGAGGGACTTGTACCCGCCAACTTCGTGGCCGAAGAGAGCTCAGTGGAATGCGAAGAGTTAGTATTATATTTCTATTTTCTATATTGACTATTCGTTTTTATCTAGATTTTCTACATCTATACTCCATTAAGAATAAAAATACAGATGCGTTGTCACCCCTGACGACTAAGATGGAATGCCCCGTTTCCAGTGAAAAGGATCTCCGGTTCTCAATATACGAAACACAGCAGCATACTTTAAGCTGGTATTCTGTGAGGGCATGGTTGTTCCCCGGTCGAGCCGATCCATTTGTGCTAGAACCATAATATAGCTGCAGCGTGGCTCTATCACATATTTTAGAATTGAACTAATCTAGGTATTTTATTGTAACTTAGTACCCAAGCAGGACACAAGCGTTATGAACATCAATACACCAGGCCAAATAGAACTTTTAAAATTTTGTGTGGGCTGATGTATTGATGTTTAATGTAAGACTATGGTGGTAAAGAGAGTCAAGCCACAACTTGTTCAAAATGAGTTTAATACACTGCCGGCGTATATTAACATAACATAATAACATAACATAAACACTCACGCCTGTCACCCAGAGGGGTAGGCAGAGACTACGGACTTCCATTTGGCGCGATCCTGACACACCTCTCTCGCCTCTTTTACATCCATATATCTACGCATACACGCCCGTCGGTTATGGGTACTCCTAATCTGGCCCATTTTTAATGTATCGCCGATTTGGTCGATAAACCTTCGTCTAGGGCGTCCCTTCCCGACCCTGCCGTTCACTTCCGCAACATAAATTTGCTTTGTCACTCTTTCCTCGTTCATTCTTTCTACATGACCAAACCACCGAAGCATTCCTTTCTTAATCCTTGTCACAACGTCATCTTGCAAACCACACTTTTCTCTTATCACACTATTTCTCACCCTGTCATTCAGATTCAGCCCTAGCATACTCCTTAAGGAACGCATTTCTACAGCATTTATTCTACTCTCATGCTTCTTCTGCCAGACCCAACTTTCACTACCATACATTAAAGTAGGGACTAACACAGCATTATGAATTGCCATACGTGCCTTAGTTGACACATTCTGACTCCTCATAATAGCGTGTAGAGCCCCATTCACTCTATTTCCTGCGTTCACTCCTCGTTCTATATCCTTATCATATCTACCATCCCTGCTAAATAAACATCCCAAATATACAAACTCATCCACTTGCTCAATCAACTCCCCTTCTATTCTTATTTCACATAAAGTTTTACTTTCTTCTCTTTCAAAAACCATCACTTTCGTCTTACTTGCGTTCACTTTCATACCCCTTTCTTTCAATGACCAATTCATTAAAGTAACCATCATTTGCAACTCGGCCGCCGACGATGCAAATATGACTTGATCATCGGCATACAAAAGGCATTTGACGGTTGACTCACCCATTCTCAACCCACATTCTTCAACTTTCAAAGTTTGCAAACAACTGTCCATAAATAAGTTAAACAGCCACGGGGAAGCCACACATCCCTGTCTGACACCTTTATGAATGCCAAACCAGTCCGAGTAAACCCCGTTGATCCTGACACAAGCACTAGAGTCCCTATAAAGAGATCTTAATGCCTGTATCAAGCCAGCGCTCAACCCAAATGAGTTCAGTGTTTGCCATAACACATTCCTGTCCACTCTGTCATAAGCCTTTTCCAAGTCCATGAACGCACAAAAAACTTTCTGGTTTTTAGCCAAAAACTTCTCCGCTATCATGCGCATGGAAAAGACTTGATCCGTACACCCCATCCCCTTTCTAAATCCAGCTTGCACATCCCAAATTTTTCCATCAGTTTCTTCCATAACTCTTTCAATTAACACCTTAGCATACAGTTTACCCACAATGCTAAGCAAACTGATACCACGGTAGTTTTACAGTCCCGCTGCGACCCCTTTCCCTTATATATTGGGACTATAACGGCTTTGCACCAGTCTTCCGGTACCCGTTTCAGTTCCCAACATAAATTAAACAAGGTGTGCAGCAGGCCTGCAACCACACCCTCACCAGCCCTTAGCATTTCGAGTGATATTCTATCATATCTGGCTGCCTTACCTGCTTTCATGCTTTTCATTGCTTTCATTATTTCATCTACACTTATCTCCCTACCTCTCTCCACTTCTTCCGGAATTTCTATTTCACTTATTCCAGACGACTCTTCATATATTGTGTAAAGTGGTTTAAAGTATCTAGTCAATAACTGTATTAATCTATGGACAACACTGGTCAAGCTATGTAGGGGCTGGAGGTTGTTTCAAAAATACTAATTTTATTTATTATAAGATTTACTATGAAATAGCGGTGTAAGATTATCCGCGTGGGTGTCGTAAGAGTCGACAGAGGGAACAAATTGGGAGATGGGCAGCAGCGTCTTCCCAATAACGACTAAAAAAAACTGCGGTTGCCATCCCGCTTGTTTGAAGCTCAAGGTTGCTCGGAGAGCTATGGGGAGAACTATGCTCAGAATTTTATCTACGTGACAGATTTAGAAATGGGGCTATTCGCAATAGAGCCCAACTGATCAGAAAGGTGAAGTGGTAATGGGCCGGCCATATAGCTCGAAGTCCCAACAACCAGTGGTAAAGAAAGGTTCTCGAGTGGTAGCTTTGTACCTTTAAGTGAAGTGTAGGGAGGCCCCCATTACATGGAATGACTACCTTGTAAGGGATGCGGAAAATCAATGGATGTAGATGGCTCAGGACCGTGCTTCGTGACATTCCTTGGGAGAGGTCTATGTTCAACAGTGGACTTGTGAAAGTCTGCAATGTCCCTACGTAATAAATCCCAAGATAAATAAGGTCTATCTCAAAAAATTGGAAGTTATGCTGGAAACTATTCAACACATTATATTGATAATATCTTAATTGTTAAAAGAGCTAAGTGCAAAACAGTGATTTGTAGGAAAACGAGCAAAATTACAAAATTCATTATTTTATGGAAAAGACAAGAAGCACGTTTCGCTAATATGACGTAATTTTTATAAGAATCTGAATAACCGTTTTGAATTTAAAGATTAATTAGTATTTTTTGTTTAGCCTCCCCCTATCACTTTAATTCAAAGTGACTATGACACCACGAAACTTTTTTATGTGGTAGAGCCATGCTGCAGCTATATTAGTAGTATAGTTGTAGCACGAATGGGTCGAATCGACCGCGGAAGGACCACGCTCTCACATAAAACCAGCGTAAAATAGCAGCTTAATGCTGCTGTGTTTCGTATGGTGAGTGTAGAGAACCGTAGACCCTTTTTACTGGAAAAGAGGCATTCCATCTTAGTCCTCATGGGTGACAACGCATCTGCATCTTGAGTCTTTATTGAGGATAGATGTAGATGTCTATGGGTCACAGTAACCACTTACCATCATGTGGACTGTGTGCTCGTTTGTCACCGTATCCTATAAAAAAAAACTTAACAACATCTTAAAATTGCTTTGATGCTCTCGAGATAGGCTCGATAAAAAAAAGTTTATTAACGTACAAACACAAACATACACAACAAACACAAACAAAAACAACACAAACACACAGATATCTTTTAAAAATATAATTAGACTCTATGAACCTCCCCAAGTGGAGATAATGTTGAAATTTGCACTGTAAATATCGAGCTCATTAGAACAATTTTGAAATAGGAAGTTAAAAATATTCCACAATATTTTTTCTAACGAATTCAAACTTTATTTCCAGTTGGTTTTTCCCCCACGTGTCCCGTAAGGAAGCGGACAAATTATTACTAGCGGAGATCAATCCACGAGGCACATTCCTTGTGCGCCCGGCAGAACACAACCCTCACGGGTTCAGCCTCAGCGTCAAAGACTGGGAGGAGGGACGAGGCTATCATGTGAAGCACTACAAGATCAAGCCCCTCGACAACGGGGGCTTCTATATAGCGACCAATCAGACGTTCCCAAGCCTGCCGGCCTTGGTTATGTCGTACACAAGTAGGTGGAATTTTTATTTAAAATATTTCCCTGTGGTGAGCAGTATAAGGAAAACACTACGGGAAATGCCGAATAGATCTTACAAGACAGACATATGGTTGTATAATAGTCTCTTAGTACCAGATCTATTATTATATTATAATTAAATATTTCTATTTTTCGGACGCAGCAAACTTAGGAAGCAATGAAATTTGAGATCTCTACATTAGATGTGAAATTAAATGAAACGTGAATCGCCAAGTATTTTACTAGATTCGTGCAGTTTGGTTTCTTCCTGTAAATTATTAACTGCACAATGTATGTTATAGTACGCACAATCACACCAAATAAAAGCAGCAAACAAACGCGTCGTAATCGCCTACCACGCTCATACGCTTAGATTTGTGTACGTGAACGATGCAATTGTATGGGTGATTCAATTAAAACGCAACACGCGTACGTCTCTCCGGTTAGAGCAAATTAAGTGTCTATCAAAATCAAGGAGGGATTATGAAAGTCAGATCAGCGGGAGGGGCGAATACCATTCCTCAAAACACTATTACTCTCCTACCAGGAGGACCATTCTGTACGTAGTACTATTTATTCTGTGCCACAAGTGTACGCATAGACATCGCCACTAACTCGTTTTCAGCTACGCGTACCTGATGCAACGCTTAATTGATTAGATCGAAGGAAAGCAAATATTAAGTTTTAGAGGCTGGGAACAGTCGTAAACAATCAAACGAAACAACCAAATTTTGTGTTTGTACAAATTTTGGTTCCTCCTATAATTCAAACCTAGGACTCTGTATGTGCCAGCCTAGTAAAAAAGAATGAAATAATTTGCTTCTGCAGTTGGTAGTAAGACACAGTGTACTGATGAATTAAAGCGCCAATTTCAACATCCCCATTTCTGGAATAGCTAAAATTAATACTTGTTGAAAGTGCTTTTTCACTTCCACTAATGGTTCGGAAAAGATCCTGTCCTGAAAAGAACCAGCAAAGAAAAACCAGCAGGACTGTTTTCTAAACTAGCTCGCTTTTAAATAAGCGGAACGATTGATGCAAGTAACATTATACAAATAAAGTGTACTCACTCTTTGCAGAGAACGCATTAGGTCTTTGTCACGTGCTAGCGAGGCCCTGCCCAAAGCCCGAGCCCCAGATGTGGGACCTTGGGCCCGAGCTGAGGGATAAGTGGGAGATACCGAGGAGTCAGATCCAGCTCATCAAGAAACTGGGACAGGGCAACTTCGGAGAGGTGTATTACGGCAAATGGTGCAACAGCATTGAGGTGAGCTTCATTGCGAGAGATATAAATTAATGCTATAATTTCAGAAAATAGTCATCGCTTTTCTACGCCCAGCCACGCTTCTTAGCTAATGAGACACCTGCAAACAATGAAGGCTACATTAGCGTTGTCACCTCTGAGGACTAAAATGTAATGCCTCACAGCCTATCCTTTCTTCCGCAAGGATCCTACACATTCACTAGCACATAGCCCATCTGATGGTAACCGGATCATGAGGCCCATAAACACCTACATCTATCCTTGATTAAAAATCAAAACGCAGATGCGCTGTTACCCTTGAGAACAGATGGAATGCCTCATTTCCAGTAAGAAAGGTCTCACACACCATATGAAACATAGCAGCATTATACTATTTGACCCTGGTATTCTATAAATGTGTGGCCCTTCCCCGGTCAAGCTGATCCATTCGAGCTACAACCATAATATGTGTGTGCAGTGTGGCTCTACCATGTATAACATCTTTGTAATGTTGATGGTTTTCCTTGCTTATTCACTCATAATATACACTGGGCACTTTATATCCGCTTTGTATTTTGTATTGATTGTTTGAATGATGTTAAAATAACATAAAAATATAAGTGATGCAATTATTTTTAGGTTGCCGTAAAAACGCTGCGAGAGGGCACGATGTCAACTCAGGCATTCCTCCAGGAAGCAGCCATTATGAAGAAGTTCAGACATAAGCGGCTCGTCGCATTGTATGCCGTGTGTTCCCATCAGGAGCCCGTCTACATAGTGCAGGAGTACATGTGCAAAGGCTCCCTTTTGGAGTTCCTCAGGAATGGAGAAGGAAAATCTCTACAATTCGAAGATTTAGTGTATATCGCTGCTCAAGTAGCGTCAGGAATGGCCTACCTTGAATCAAAACTGTTAATACACAGGGACTTAGCCGCTAGAAACGTATTAATAGGGGACAATAACGTAGCAAAGATTTGCGACTTTGGATTGGCCAGAGTGATAGAAGACAACGAATACTGCCCCAAACAAGGTTCGCGGTTCCCGGTTAAATGGACCGCGCCTGAGGCGATCATATATGGAAGGTTCTCCATTAAAAGCGACGTCTGGTCGTATGGCATCCTACTCATGGAATTATTCACATATGGCCAGATACCATATCCAGGGTTGCACGGCAAGGAAGTCATAGAACAAGTAGAGAGGGGCTATAGAATGCCGAAGCCAGTAGGGCATTACTTACCTGACGCTATCTACGCACTAATGCTGCAGTGCTGGGATGCAATACCAGAAAAACGACCAACGTTCGAGTTCCTCAACCATTATTTCGAATCATTCACAGTGACCAGTGAGACGCCATACAGAGAAGTGCAAGACTAGTGCTGTGATATAGTGAAATAGTTCAATTCTCCCGCGGAAATGCTTCCAGTGTACTGTCGCGAAACGCACAAGTCTTTGCTGCGAGTGATTTATTGAGTGTACGCTTGCCGCTATGTGACAAACTGTGTGCTTTGGTTTTGTCGAAAAACTGGCTCGGATATAGTTCGTTTTCTGAGAGAACTGGGAGTGACGTCGCTTGTATTGAACTGTGCAGACAATTTCTGTAGGGTCCTTTTATCGAATACAAGGAATTATGATGGATGTGTGTTGCCCCTTTCAAAAAAAAAAAGGAAAATTATTTATTTGATGGTATAAATTATATACAATAATTGTGTTGTCATTTGAATGTTGGCACTAAAACATATTTTTGGTTTGTGACACTCATATGGGTAGGGAGTTATATTAATTTGCTTTTGCTATTACTGAAAAAAGAAATTTATTCTATTTGATTGCGCGCACACGCCATTGTAGTTCCTTTCCTTGGTATTTTTATACTCAAAATACTTGACTTAACAATACAGGAATCTGTGAGCTTGTCATTTTTATTCATGGCTTCTATTTGATTTGTGATTGTTAGAGATTTGAATAATTATAAATTACGGTTAAATAGCGCATAAGTGGGTTAAGCGCACGTTAACTACGTAAGACCACAAACAAGTATTTTTAAGTAACCATAAACTCATGGAAATGTCACTTTCTATTTTTTTCTTATTTATTAGCAGGCGTAGCTTAAGCACACGTAGGATATTGTTTTGCGTAATGTACAAAACTGTTCTCTAAAATGTAAGCAATAAAGTTTAAAACGATAATGAGATTGAGCTCGATATTTTCATATTCTAAAATGAAATGTGATATTTTTTTATCACTTAAGTCCTTAAAGACGATCTCAAGCCCATAGTGGTAATTACTAACATTTCTGTGGAATTTGGGTGGTACGACATTCCTTTAAAACCTACGAACGCATCTTTAATTTTTGTTGCATACAATTTTTAAGGCCCTATCATGACAATACACACGATTAATTGCGAAAATCCACAGCGGGGTAAATACTGTAAATCATATTTTTAATTTATTTTCTTTTGTTCATATACCAATTATTTAAGAAAAAATCATTTTACAATCTTGTAATCGGTAAAATATTTTATTTTATCCAAAATCTATATGTAGATAATCATACTTCTTATACGACAGATATTTATAGAGTTATATTAAGACTGACATTTTGAAATGTTTATTTATATTTTAAACTTTATTATTATGGGAATAAAGTCTCGAGTCATTTACCCTGCTAATTTTACAGGGGCCCCTTTGCATAACAAATCTGTTACAACTTATAATAAACATGAGTAAATTTGTGCCTCTGTGATCGATCAAGTATTTTGCTCATTTTCAACACTGCAAAGGGGCCAACTACCGTCACTTATGTAAAAACGCTAGCTATAGGACCATATACCAAAGAGTTTAATACATTAAGAGCGATAAATTTAGAGGCAACATATTTAATTTTAGCGTAAGTTCCCAAGACCTATAACATTGTTTGACCAATATCCTCAATTTTGACATTTATACAACTATATTGTAACATAAAGAGTAATTGTAAATTGTTGATAAATTATAATAACGACTGATGAATCGGCAACGGATTTGTATTGATTAATGTTAAAACTAACAACGTAATCTCTATTACTTTTGTCGCCTTCCAAAAGTATTAACACTATGCTTTAACCACTTAATCATTTTCATCGTCCTAGAGATTATAAAAGCATTGCGAATAGTGTCTTAAATAACATTCCAGATATTCGAAACACTTTAAATTTGGACACTTTTGTATGAAAACGGTTAGGTTTGTAAGATTTTGTACATACAATGAAATAAATGTCATTGATATAAAACATGAATTTTATTTCCCAAATGTCACCTGACAAAAGGTTATGCTTGACTACGATCTCGCCTAGTAATAGATAGTGTAACCAAAATTGTATGGTAAATTGTTTATAAAAATATTTTCACTTTTATTTTAAAGTATAAATAAAATATAAAAAATATTAAAGACAAGTTTCTTTACGAGCTACTGTAACGGACTAGTTTCTAGGAGCAGAAGTGAAGGACTTCGAGACTCTCTGGTTTAAGATCTCTTCAAAGCGGATGGGCAACAACGTTCACGGGTAAGCAATCACTCTCCATTTTGGACCCGACCAGACCTGCACTGAACTTGGTTACGTAGATTTTACCGTCGTCAGAGATGTAAGAGACTATGACCTTTGTGATGAGCACTCGTTGTCTGGACTTTGTGGGCACGATACCGCCTTGCTTCGATACAATAAACTGTAACGTAGCATAGCGTGAATGAAAATACACAAAGAATATAGAATGTAGCATGCACAAGAAATTAAATGACGAACTGTACGTGTTCGTCATTTAATTCCTTGTGCTCTAATGCGGGTTGCGAATGCGAATGGCAGACTACAAGTAGTCAGACTTAAAATCTGGTGTCTCAAAGGTCACACATTAAACAGAAGGAAAGTGCAAGCTATAAAATAAATATTTTTTATTACATTTATAAACCGACTAAGTAATCAATACAGCTTCTGTTTACTGTTGTTAAAATACAAAGAAATTAATATGTAACGGAACGGAATAAACGAATAATTTGACGGATCCGTGGCGTATTGGCTTAGTAATGAGTAGCAGCGGCGAGTACCGCGGATTGGAATATCGAACAGAACAAGTATTTGTATGACCCATAAATAATTGTTGTTGTTCTGGCTGTTCATCTTTGTGAAATTTATATTAAAAATTAAATTTATATGTATATAAACTACCCCCACAATACAGGAGAAAATACTTCCTTTAGTATTATTGCGTGTATAATGTGTAACAAAGATCGCAGGGCAACCTATGGTGGAGCCCATGTTCAATAGTGAACTTTAAGACACACATACACACATACACGCATGTGCGCGCACGCTCGCAAATATGCTTGTAACCAGTACTAGTAAAAACTGTCTCCGGGTCTCTACACTCACCATACGAAACACAGCAGCATTATGTCGCTATTTTACGGTTGTAATCTGTGAGAGCGTGATCCTTCCCCGATCTAGCGTTATAATACAGGTACAGTGTAGCTTTACCACCTGAAAATTCAATTTATTAAGCTCTCCCTAAAGGATTATTTCACAAAGTAACAATGCCACAACACTTCTAAGGAATAGTAAGTAATGATGATGAAGAATAGTTGCGAAGGTAAGAAAAAAATTTACTTATTAATTTTAAAGTTTATTTGAAACAAAATACTCAATATACATATAATTTTATTTTGGATATACAAAAGTTTAAAAATGCATTATGGTTTTTGATTAACTCGTATTTACAGTTATATAATAATGATATATCGAGTCCTAAAACATTTGTTTACATTAACACTGTCATATGTATATAATCAATAATGTAACATTTCCGCCTCAATACATAACCGTTCATAACGATAACAAACAAAATATGAATAAATATAAAATCATTTATGATATTGCTTTGTAACTTATTACTTATTATATAATTAGGAACAGTTTTTTTTTTATTTAGGGTCAATTTTTCTAAATAAAATATAAAATAAAAATTACAGTTGTATTTTTCTTTAATAAAACTGAAGTATTAAAGAAAATCACAGTCCACCAGTACAAGTAGTGATTACTACAGTCTATGGACACCCGCAGCCACCATCAAACAAAGAAGGCCACGGATGCGTTGTCACGTCTGAGGACTTATAATTTTTTTTAACTTGATTGTTGCAATTGCTGTAAAAAACAGTTCTTTGCTAAATAAAAGTTATCTCGAAGAAATCGCTTCCAGAGCGATAAGACCACCTATTGTACCTAGTATATATATATATTTCATATTGTCTCGTTCTAATGTGTATTGGTGTACAATAAAGAATATATTGATTGATTGACTTAGATGGAATGGCCTCACACCTTGTAATTATACTGGCTCTTTGTAACCTTCCGACCGGAACAGTGGATCAAGCACTGTTATTTGGCGGCAGAAATAGGTAAAAGGGTGGTACCATCGAGGCAGTCCGCTAGCCAGAAAAGTAGTCCTACAACCTAGTGAAACAGTTCAATTGTTTCACTTTTATATTCAGTCAGGTTATAATTTATTTGATGAATAATTTTTAGTGACGCTTAAAAAACCAGCCAATAAATCAATTAACAAATCAATCCAGAGTGAATATTTCAGCATTTGACATCGCAAACTCAATTACTTCAGTTGGTCAACGATGAACTTTCTTCGATGCAAGAATATGACATTTTTATTATATGCTGATGATCTGAAGGCTTATAAAACTTAAAAATGTAAACGATTGTTTACCATTTCAAGATTTTAATAATTTGAGTTTTTACTGTATAAAAAATAAACTTTTTTTTATAGGATAAGGGTGACAAACGAGCACACAGTCCACCTGATGGTAAGTAGTTGCTGCGGCCCATAGACATCTACATCTATCATCTATTACAAATCAAAATGCAGATGTGTTGTCACCCGTGAGGACTAAGATGGAATGCCTCATTTCCAGTAAAAAGGGCCTTCGGCCACCTGCACTCACCAAGCGAAACGCAGAGGTAAACCTCTACTTCACGCTAACTTTATCTTAGTATCCCAAAGTGTCTTACAATATCTTTTAATAAAAATAAAGAACTGGTTAAATTCAACTGTACCCTCTGTGACAAACTATTGCACAGGAGCCTCTTTTGTTTGAGATCTTGGTGTAATTTTGGACCAAAAACTCCACTTCGATTTACATTTAGAAAAAAATATAAGCAAAGCATATCCACTTTATGGTATTGTCATGAGATCATCAAACAAATTCAAAAAGCCTTTGTATTTGCTTAAGTTTTAAGAAATATACACAAAAAGTTATTAAGCCGAGATAAAACTTAACATCAAAAAAGTCGAGAAAATTGCTATTCCCCTCTACTTCGAGGGAAGATATTCCAGGATAC